GGCTATCGACATCCACGACAACGTACCAGGGTTTGAGGAGCTCAGTCCTGGACTGACCTCCTCAAACCCTGGTACGTTATCGTCGATTTCCATACCTACGCAACAAGCGCATTCAATTGTGACAGTAGGCCCGTCGCGGCGTCGGACGTTCCTGATCTCGCGTTCCACACATCGGGTATGGTAATCTAGCTCCCGCGCCGTGTCGCCTGCAAACCCGCGGAAAGTTACATTGGCATGACAAGAAGAGAGCAGCATCGTCTTTTGCTTCACGGTCATCTCATGGTATGTGTGCAAGGTTACACGAGTCGTGAACAGCCGCGGAAGAAACATGCTGAACTATGTAAGTTTGTAAGAGGATGGCGCCCTTGCCCGCACATTCAATGGATCATCCGAAGTCAGAATCGAATCCAGAAACACTTTTGGAATGGCTCCATTCTCGCTATACGAATCGAAATTCTCTTCACTGACAGGTGCAGATTCGCTAGAGGAAAACCGACGACAAGTTATCATCTTTGGCGCCCACCACACAGCCGCCCAAGATCGGAACGTTTCGGTTTCTTCTTCCCCGCTAAAACCACCGTGATCATATCCAGCACGTGTTACAACACGGATACGAATTCGTTGGTGATCCTGGAAGAAAAAAAAAAAGGTCAGAGAAACACGCCTCCGCAAAGCCAACAACCAATGGGGCGGGAGGGGGGCAGGAGACGGACGAGACGGCGAGGGAAGAAAGCAACGAGAAGAGACGGACCGAGTGGCACGATACGCGCCGGACTGAATTTCTTTTAGCCAATTCCCCCCCCCCAACGCTGCACCATTGCACCAACCCCCCAGTAGTGATGACGTACCATTACAATGTATCGCTGGTTGGTGGCCATGTTTGCGTGTTTGCTTGTTCGTTAGTGGTCTCTCCACCATGTGCCTTTTTCTGCCTCTTATTTCTTGTTATTTTCGGCCTGGTCCCTTTTTTTCTTCTTCTTAATATGACACAACGAATCCATCTCTATCATAGAAAAGAGTCTGAGACAGATTAGCAATGAATTCTTTTTGTCCTCGCTCTTTGAGGACACAGGCTTCCTCCAGTACCAACAGATAATTCGTCGACGCCAATGAGGACACAGGCTTCCCTCGTTGGGGGGAGGCCCAGGTCGCAGTAGTCTTTTCCCACTACTAAGGGCTGGCAGTTCTCTTCGTCGAGATTTAGAGAGGAGAGGGTCTCAGAAGAGAGAGACAAGAGAGAGTGCGCCGCCGAAGGGGCGAGGGAGACCAAGCCCGAGGGTCTCGGATTCCCAAGCTCGACAGGTGGCGCCAAGAGGGACGCATCCACAGTCGGGTCTCTTCCTGATCAACCATCAATAAGATCCTCCATTCGGATCGTATCTTGGTCCTATTTCTGTATGTGCAACAATAATGGTTACAGCACTTCTACACCTGTCATCCACATCTTTTTCATCATTTTATTTTCTCTTTTTTCCTACTCAGTTTCCTTTTTATTTTATTTTTTCTCTTTTTTCTCTTTTTCTCTCTCTTTTTCTGTGCCAGATAGCCTTGTCTCTGCTTGCGTTGTCAAGTACCAAGACTGAACCAAGGGGGTGTACCTCTTTCTCTCCGGCCCGTGACAGTGACTCCGAGTCTCAGTTGATACCTCGCATAGCCTGCAGAGGGAGTGGAGGACTCCAGAATATCTGTCGTTGATTTCTTTTGACTTGCGGACCCCTCGGGGCCAGTTTATTTGAGTGTACATTTGTAGGGTAAGTTAGCCTGTGACCACGGGAATCGACCGCGTCGAGTGTTGGATCAGTATGGACATACGAAGGTACTGGGTAGAGAGAGATCGGAAATGTTATTAATGTGAAGACAACAACAACAACAACAACGGGCGCGAATGAGCTAATGCTGTAAACAAAACAGGGATTCCAATCAACATCACCATAGCAGCAAAGACAGCGGTCGCCTTGCCTCGTTGGTCTTCCAAGCCAGGGACTTGATTAGGGGTCTTGTATCGCCAAGATTGGACCACTACAGCAGGCACAAACCATTTACTACGCACATCTACGGCTACGACATGGTGACATTCAGTGTGTGCTCCGAGGTAATCGGGAGCATTTCTGACAACATTTATGTCTCTAGCAGTAGATGTGCATACAGCAGTGGTACATTGTATTTAGTGTTCATGTGATACTTGCTCTCTAGACTAATGGTACTATTTACTGGCTTGGACACACGATGCAAGAAACGAAAACATTTTTACTTCTAGCGCGCAGCCTGACTGCACCTCTTTATCATCTCGGCATCTAGGCATCCCGAAAGGTTGATGAGGTTTTGGTCTGTCCTCTGCTGTCTCGTGTTCATCAACTTAAGACTGCTGTATGCACGTAGACGACCGTGGTGGACAATATACCGCAACCTCGTATTCTTGTGGCATCATAAAATAGTGTACCTTTTCTCCTTTTTATGATGATGAGGCAAAAGAAGGGTGTGTGTGTGAGACAGCTCTGTTACACTGGTGCCGCCACGACTGCTAAACGATAAGGCAGCAGCGCAAGCGCCGCCGCTAAACTGGCAGAACATCTCGGCCATGTGCGCACAAAGCCTGGCAGGCAATCTTCGCGTGTGTTCTACATACGCGCGTCCCGCCATGGGTACGTTATTGCGCGCTCTGTCCACGACCGGGCCCTTACACGAGACCGGCTGCACCGGCGTGAGCTTGGCGAACTTTTTCCTCCTTGAGACGTCACTTCACAACAAAATTAAAAGTCCACCTCTCCCGCTTGACGCTTGACACATGTCAATGTGGTTTCAGTTTAAACCAGCGAATCATCTTACTCCACACGAACCCCCTCGAGAGATAAAAGTAGTTCCTGTCACCCGTGTCAACGATGTCAAAATCTCAAAGGACTAACCTCCCACAACAGGGGTCGTGCTGAGTTCCGTGCCCTGTTCCGATCGCACCCGCCAGAGACAGGGGTCTGTTGTGGCGAGGTCCGGCGTAAATCTTGGCGCCTTCTGTTGGCTCCAGGAAACGTGAGACCAACGGACGGCGGGTTGGTCGGGCCGCGATCGATCGGACCTGGACTTCGCTGCGGTTTCTCTTCGTGCTCTTCGTCTCCGAGATGTGTGAACGTGATTGGGCAGCAAGACGTGCCTGCACGTGATTGGGCGCATGCGCGCGCCGGACGCGCCTGAAACTAGGGGTCATCGTGGATTGTACCAAGAAGGGGAGGTTGTGATGATTCACGGCGCCCCATAGCTTTCTCGTGCTCCAGGACCACCAGCACACCCAGCCAATAGTGCATTACACGTCCTTCTCTCTCTCCACCGACCTGACCTGGTGGAGCACGGAGGGAGCCAGAGATAAGAAACATGTCATCGCCGCGTAATCACGGTAAGCCAATTGATTCAATCCGTAAGAGTTTTCCGGTCTCGAGGAGAGTTCGCATTCAAATTGTGGACCTGTGTGCTCTTGACCGCCAGCAGGTCCGTCCTCTTGCCTAGATTGACTCTTGACAGCCAAGTAATGGTGTAGCAGTGCCTTGGCCTGCTATGATGGGGCAATGCTGTCACTACATGTTTGATATTTGGTTGCTAGGACGTATGGATGCATGGAAATGTCTGGCGTGTCGACCGCAGTAATGTCGGTAAGAGGGTGCTCTACGGAGTATCCTTGTTGCACCACAGCGGTATTTGTATAATGTAGTCGAATGTGTATCTTTGTTGCCGTTCTAGCGCCTTGCAGAACACGAGCTGCCCGATACCAAATCTCATGCATGCATGCCATGGCAGGGCCTGGAGAAATGCATCGAATACGTGTATTGGAAAAAACAATGGTTACTGGTTGCATCGTACACGCAATATTGTGACGGCTATTGTAGTCCAACGGGATACTGCTGCACTGCCAAAGCTGACGTCTTTTATAGAGACTTGTACAGACGCCGTTCGAGATATTGGTACGGCGGTTTGATTGGGTATGTCGGACATCGAATAACATGCCTCAACCACGAAGCAGCGTTTGGTAGTTTCGTACGAATAGGTACTACACCGTGTGGCGCCAACGGAGATCCTGCCCCTGGCACCGCAGTAGTTGTTGGAATACACACCAGACACACGTGCACATGTTTCATGCTTGCTCCATCTGACCTGCAACTTGAACGTGTACGACCTGTTTCTTCCGCCCGGCCGGCTCATCCTCGACTTCGCAGCGGATGGCCAAGAACCCCCGCTGAAACGCCAAAAAGGTGTGCGTTTGTGCTTAGGTTTTATGGGACGACCAGGACTCTAGAGTTCGCATTGTTGTTGTTGTTGTTGTTGTTGTTGTTGTTGTTGTTGTTGTTGTTGTTGTTGTTGTTGTCTTCACATTAAAAACCGTTCCGATCTCTCTCTACCGAGTACCTTCATATGCCCGTACTGATCCAACACTTGACTTGACGCGGTCGATTCCCGTGGTCACAGGCTAACTTACCCTAAAAAGTTACACTCAAAACAAACTGGCCCCGAGGGCATGCAGAGGTCGGGCGCGGGCGCGGGCGTGGGTACGTGGGTCCTATAGTATACTATAGTATAGTATAGTGTTAATATCATACGGCCGTCGTAGAGGAGAGAGACCACAGACAACACCACCTTCTTGTATGTTCGCTTTCTGGCCAGGCAGTAGACGGCGACGGCGGTTGGTTGTGTTCCGCAGCTTTCTGGCAACAAGGAGCTATTAGCTTTCAACACTTCTGACTACAAATCCCTACGACGCCATCTATTTTCCTGCGGCCTATATAACTCTGTTCAATCGACCTAGAGTCGTGCTTCGCATGCTCCGCTGTATCTATCTTACGCGGTGTTTCGCTCCTCTTGAGCGTGTTTAAATCGGCACGATTTTCCGTCTCCCGCGTTTCAACCCGTTTTGAAGGCCAATTCCAGCATCATCACCAGCAGCAACAGCAGCACCAACAACATGCTCCAACCACCCCGAGGTACATCCCCGGAGGGGGCGACCGCTCTTCGTTCGCGCCCCCTCCCCCCCCCTCTCCCTTCTCCCCACCGGGTACCCCCCACGCGAACGGCCGCGGCGGCGGTCAGTTTTCGCCGACACCGACACAATGGGAAACGCCGCAGCCCCAGGCGCCGCCTCCTGCTTCTCCTCTGCCGCACGGTGCGAATCGTCGGCAGGTGTCATACCAGGGCTCGCGGGGGGTTACTCTTTCCTTCAACTACTGGGTAGGGCGCGCGCTCTCCAACCAGGTGAAGAAGTACCCACGACGTGATTGAGATCGTTTGGTATAAAGGCGTCGGGTAAGGGCATGTGGTAGTAGGACGTGCCGTAGAAGAGACACAGACCATTTTTAACAGCAGTAGCGTATTGTGTTTCCCTTTCCGACTGCGACCTCTCCCCCCTCGGTCCCCTTTCCGGCCCCCTTCGCCCCTCTCGTCACCTTGGCTGTCCAACCGCCCATCCTTAACCCCCCCCCCCCCCCCCCGGAAATTTTGACCTCTTAACCTGTTCCACACACCCCAAGTTCCACCG